ATGCCAGCTGGTGTTCACCAGTATGGCTGCCTTGAATGGAACTGCTATCCTTTACACTGACTGGCAACATAGCCCTGTGTTTCCAAAGCTGTGTGAAAGCCTCAGAGGGCAGGTGCTGTGCAGCGCTGTGAATGTGTGAGCATAAGCGTGAGCTTGAGAGAGCACTAGACCTCCTCCCTCCCTCCCTCCCATCACGCGGACAGGAGTTGAGAGGGTTCCAGATTGTATCTTAAAGCTGATAAGTGTCACATGACTGTTGCATACATGCACTTAGCCTGTTCCCATTGCTAAACACCCATGTTGATCCAGCCCTCGGCAAAGCAGCAACCATACTACAACATGTATTGCTGGATCTGCATGAAACTTCTGGTGCCTCTAGTTTACAACAGTAATCCCAGCCTCAGCTTGCACTGGATGATCACCACCCTGACAGGCTCTGTCCCGTTGCTGCAGTGTTAGCAGATGGCTAAGATGCAGTACAGAGGGGAAGGGGGGAGGGTGCACCCGCCCAAGTGCAGAGAATGAGAATTGGCTACGCTCTCCTTGTGTGGGTTTCCTGCCTGCAAACCTCTACCACAAGGAGGCCTCAGGAAGTCAGAGCAGTTCAGTGAGCCGGTTAGGCCAGCTGCCTAGAAGGGCACTGGCTGGCTCCACACAACATCCGAACACTCATAACATTGTTCCCAGGGCTGATCCTGTACCACGAAGCCAGTGGGGGCTTTGCCTCTAACTCAGTGAGCTTAGGATGGAGATCATGGAAAGGGAGGGCGGGGAGAATCTAATGTGCCAATTACTAATGAGCCTCTTCTGTGACTAAACCTATAACTAACACCAAGTAGTTCTGGGAACAGCAGTTATCATTTCCTGCCCAGCCAAGGTGTGAACTTGTCTATCCCACTGCCCACCCCCTACTATAGAGAAAGGCAAAAAATCATACAGTCCAGATAACATCTGGCTACTCCCAGCCTGGCAGCTCCTATCATGGTAGATGTTGCTGAAATACCTTCAGGTCTTCAGAAACATGTATATTTATAGCTTGGCATCATCTCCTGCTGGAGCGGGGCTGGAATGGATCTAGAGACTCCCCCACGGTCCCCAGGACAGATTGGGACAGTAGCAGCGGTGCGCAGGGGAGAGGGGGAATAAGAAGAAGGGCCACTGAACACAGAGAGAAAGGGAGGAAGCTTTTTACCTGATTGAGGAACCTAAAAAAAGATCCCAGCTGCTGTCACAATGCAGTTTGCTCACTCTGGTGACAGGAGGATGGGACCCGAGGTACAGCCACCTCTGCAGCACTGCGCCACCTTTTACAAAATCCTGGATCTGCCCATGCAGTCTTGTATACACCATCAGCCAGCCAGCCCACTGTCCATACTGCCAAACCCGTCACTGAACAGCAGCATTTGTGTGAGATCACCCATACTCAGAGACTGGCATTTCAAAGAGAGGGTTTTACTATCTTCTTTGATGTTACCAAACTTGCCATTTTTACTTCCCCTGGCCTTCAGTAACTCTTGTTGCTCCAGCTCAGCTCCTGCTCTAAAGATACAGGCCTTGGAAGATACAAGTCTGTTGACGTGGCTGTTTTATTTCTCACTACTAAGATTCCACCCTGCTCCTACCCAGATTCCACCCCATTCCAGAGGCACGGGAATAAAAAGAGGACAAAAAACAGACTCACAGAATCATGGACAAATAGGACCAGAAGGGACCTCAGGGATCATTTCGTCCAACCCCCTGCTCAAGGCAGGAACATCTCTGTCCATGCCATCCCACCCAAGTACTTGACTAATTTATTCCTAAAGGTCACATCTACACAAGACACTAACTGAGCAGTAGCCCATGACTACTATGGAGTAGCATTGTGTGGCAGAAAGCGTGACGTGACAGTACTGTGAAGTAGTCATGAGCTACTGCGCAGTCAGGGTCATGAAAAAGCCATTCCTTGACACTACTGTGCAGTAACTCTGGTTACTGCATGGTCAATTAGTACTTGTTTATACAAGTACTAAATGACTGCACAGTAACAACCCCATCACACAGCTACAAGGCACATTGCCCAAAAACACCAGGGACACCCTAACCTGCTAACAGGTAGAGCAGGGGGAGCGAGGGCACTATCAATGTCCTGCTGCCACAAGCCAAAAGGATGAGAGACTCAAGCAAGAGGGCCATGCCCACCCCCACCTCCAGCATAGAGAAAGGCAAAAACAAAACTGTACAGTCCAAATAAGATCTGGCTACTCCCAGCCTGGATGGGCTACTAGAATAGGCGTTGCTGGCATATCTCCAGGTCTTCAGAGGCACATATATTTATAGCTTGGCATCATCTCACTTATGTTATTAGACAAACTAGTTACGAGCAGAACAACTAAAATTGGTTGAGGGATTCCCCAGCCCTGGGCTTGACTTTGGTCTCAGCTATTTTGGTCTGATACAGAAATAACAACCAGTCTTTTTTATTATTAATATTTGGATGTCTAATGTCCAAATCTACATTTCCCTTAAATGAAGGGGGCACCCTGGCTCTGGATTGTTCCAAATGAGCAAACAGCCCATCTTCTCAAACCAATGAGAGAAAATGTGTGTGCCAGAGAAAGGAAAGCCAGCCAAGGCACATGGGCTGAGCAGCCCCCAAGACACCAGGCCCCATAGGAGCTTTGTAGGCATTTGGTCTCAGTGCTGCCAGGACACCCCAATCCTGAGAGGTGCTGAGACAGTGGGAGATACAGTTGCAAACAGCCTGTCAGGACCAAGCCTGTTAATAGCACAAGACACTACAAGGTCCTTTCCAACGCAGTCTGAGCTTGGCAGCACCTTTTAGTTTAAAGTATTTTCCAACTGATTAGAAAGCAACATTTCTAGTTGCAAAGGGTAGGGACAGACAAACAATATACTGCAGTGGGAGAATGGGGCAATACTTCTCTGCATGTCAGCTGCTCCAGGCTACCTGCTCATGTGTACCTTCTTACCCTGTGGTAAGTGAAAGCTAAACAGGGGTAGCTTTGCTCACAATGAAGGATGGGGGCATTACTGTGGTGTTGCCACCACTTACCATGGAATAAAAGCAAGCTCCTGTGCTGTTATCATGGAGCAACTGATATAGAGTCAAGCCCTGCCCTTCCCCATCACACAGGGTAAGTTGTCTGTAGGTCCATACTTGCTCAGTGGCAGAGGCAAGAATCCAATGCAGGGGGGTGGACTCCCTGTTCCTCTTCCAGGGACAAGGCAAAACACTTATGCCTCCTCTGATGGACCCTGGTCCAGTAGTACAGTTAAGTATGGGAGTCACCCGTTGACTTCCAAAGGACCATCCACATGCTGGTTGTACATGTTTGAACACTTGACTGAACCAGGGGCCATGCTTTTTTTGGAATAAGCCAGACCTACCAACCCCTGGTGTCTGTCCACTCCAGTGTTAAAAAACCCAAGAACTCCAGAATCATATTTATGTCCCTTAGCTCTCATTCATTGTTTGTGACCTAAGCCTTGACTAGCACCTTGTATCACCCTGCTGACAAGGTGCTAAAATTTGTATCACCATCTCAGTGACTAACAGATTTTCAGCACACTGACTCAACACACTGACTCTGCTTCCAGTCACACAGAATGTCACTGCCTGCCTCCTCTATAGACAATCACTTACAAACTTATAAAAACCTATGACAAAGCATAGCAAAACTGGAACTGAAAAGTTCAGTCCTCAGCCATTGGTGATTTCTCCACAGAGCTGAGGGAGAGGGATGACAATAAGATCAATAACGGGGCTAGCCGGGTTCTGGTTCAGATCCCACTAGAATTTAGAGCAGTCTTAGGGCTGCTTTAAATTGTAACTAATTGCAATAGCATCCACAGACTTGATGCAGTTGACCTGAATTGGAGCAACCCTGATAATGATTATTTTTTGCAGCTCCCTTCTTGGTGAACCTCAGGACTGTTTTTAGCCAAAGGCATTCCAGTAACTTTGTCAAAATCAAGCTGAGAAACCCCCAACACTGGGAGGATGAAAATCTTCACTCCTAACCAGATCAGCATTGAGTTTTTGCGTTAGTGGATGCTTCTTAGACATGAGCCAGTTTTGACCGTTAGAAGTGCTCATTTCAGTGTCTCTCCTCACACAAGGTTTGAGGTCAGAAACACACTTATAGAGTCTCCTAGCTCTGCAGATTGGCACAGATCTCTTCACCACTCTACCTACCTGTTTGACTTCTCTTCAGGGTTTTCTATGCCTGTTCATACAGCATCTGAGCACTTTCCTGGGGAGATTGATCTGCTATGCTGCTGGAAAAGTCATCCTCATCTTCAGCCTCTTCCTAGGCTCCTCTCCCCTTCCACAGGTCACTCCTTACCAGCTGTGGAGAGAAGCCTTCATCAAAGTGGTGGGTTCCTACAACAAGCCCTGCTGGAGCCAAAACCCTAGATCAGTCTAATCTCTGGAAGATCATTTTGCAAAGAACCCCCTCAACCAGGAGTGCTCTTGACCAGGTCCTGAATCATACTACAGTCCCCATCTGGCTGAGCTAAGTGGCTGTTAAGCCAGGGTGGTGACCCAAAGGCTCGCTATGGATAAGAATCATGTTTCTATGTCTCGTTTCTTTCAGGCTTCTGTGTAGGGAATGCAGCTAGCAGAGAAATAGCAGTCATGTGATAGTACAGTGATGAGACATAATAGTCAACAAGAGATACCATCATTTACCACCCACAACAACTCTTTAGTTAAACAAGGATGTTCTTTGGTTGTGTACCAATTTTCGTTGGAACCTCCCTGCAGAGCAGCTGCCTGCACTTGCTGGAGGTAAAGTGGCTGTTGAAGACACTCCAATATTGACCCAGCTTCCAGCCAACATCAGCCCGTCTAGCCCAAGACTCCATCGAATCTTTATGGAGGAAGAAGGGTTACAACTCCACTTACAATGTATTGTGGCTCCTTTTTTCCTGGTCTCAACACAGACATTGCCAAGATTTAAAAGAAGAAAAAAAAATATGATAAATAAAGTATATATAATTTGGTCTTTTTTTTATTCACTATTTTACATTTCAACACATTTAATAGGCTCATTTAATTGGGACAGCTGCTTACAGATGATTTTTAGAACTACAGTGGATAAGCCAAGAAATACTCAACCATACTGGTAATCTCTCTCTCATAGGACACAAATACAATCACCACAAACGCACATACCATCAACAACCAGGCATTTACAATGGTTGGATCTCAGCTGAACTGTCCAATGCTCATTTTTAAAGACAGCAGTATGCATACCCAAGAGATGTCTGCTATCATACAGCCATAATTATTGCTATGGATATGGGCCTCAGCTCCACATCTCATTTGACCTCTTTGCTGGAGGTTTGTTATGAAAATCTGCAGCAATATCCCATCGACACTTAACTGACCAGGTATGTCTCCCTTGCCTTCAGACTGAGCCAAGAAGTGCCACCGAGAAGCATGCCTCCTCCACTCACAGTGGGCACACACCAATAAGCGTGTCCATGACAGAGCCAAGAGTGGCTCTGGGCAGGTGTTTAATAGCACTCCAATGTGTTATTAAAATACAACAGTCAGGAACATATCCTCTGACAACCCTAACCCAATGATGATCGATGCCAGGGAGGTATGACAAGGGATGGATTACAGTAGACATGCCTTGTACATATACTCTCCCTCTAAAGCACCTACTACTACTTGCCACTGTCAGAGAGGGGATACCGGGCTAGATAGACCATTGGTCTGACCCAGTATGGCACTGCTTATGTTCTTAAAATAGCTATTGCCTAATTTCTGGAATTTAGCACATACAGAACAGGAACACGAGGGTGGGGGAGGCTTCTCAGAGTGCTCCCAGGTTCAGCAAAGGTGAGAGAGACCCACTAAATCATACCCCAGCACAAAGGTTATCTTTAATAAATCCACATCTTCAAAACAACATAAATTTAAAGTCATATATGTGAATGTGTAATCACTAAGGGGATGGGTGCTTTTTTTTCATTTTGCTACTCAAAATGAGAATAGATTAAAAATGCAAAATTGAGCATGGGGACCATCTGGGCAGTTTATTCCCAGCCATTAATTTGCAAGGAACCAAATTATTTTAAATGGGCCAGATAGTCAACTTTGAAAAGCTGCCTGGGCAATAACCATTTTGTAAGGAATGTGATGATGATTTCCACTGTCATTTATAATGCACACATTCTATATAGCATACATACAACGAGTCCATTGACAATTAGCTCATTTCTATGCATATCAACTCCCCCCCCACCCCCAACTCCCACCCCTGCCCTTGGCCAATCAGAGTTCAGGTGATTATATAAGTGCACAATACGCTGTGTATCTGAGAAAACCATGCATTTCCCCACCTAGTACAGCAATGAATCAATGTATCACGCCCAACTGAGATAGTGGTGGGTGAGTAACTGCACATCACCCATGACCTCTGATTGACTGAGTGTTCAATTTCAACATAAATTCAAGTAACTGTCATATGGAATTGACTGCTGTTGAGAAGAAACCACACACTGCTAGGTCCCAGCTCAGGACCTGCAGCTTCGCCAAGTTTATATTTCTAGCATGCACAAATGTTTTTTCACTTTATATTCCACAGAGCTATGTTTTCATCTCTCATCTCCCTTCCATTGTCCCAGGTTAAGCTACTCTCTAGTAAACAGCAATAGCTCTCACCTGCTGTGAGGCTGCTCATCAGGCCTCATTTCTAACACCTCCCACTTTATTGTTGCCTCATTTATTTTTCTTCATATTTGTTCTTCTTCATTTTTTTTATTCAGACCTTCTTCAGCATGACCCTCTCTTCTCTTCCGAATTCCCCTCCCAGTTACATGTATTCCCAGTCTCTGAAGATCTGCATTGCTTATTCTATTCATGGGTTACCAGTCCTTCTGACTCGCTGTATTCAGCCCTCTGCTCATGGATTCCGACTCTGACAGCTTCCATTGTCATGCTTGGCAGGATGCCCCAGCCCTGCCCAACACAATGGGAGAACAAACCCCAGGGCACTGTGCTCCTGAAATGCAGCACTGAGAATGCCCAAGAGAGGGTTTCTTAGCCTCTCCCACCAAAGCACCCACCTTGCCCCCACTCACTTCATCACCCAAGGACTTGACTGCTTAAAAAAGGTCTCAGACATGCCATCCCACCTTCATTCTGGGTGCCGATGCCTACTACTTTCACCAGAGCCATCAGTAGGGGCTGGACACCCTGTATCGGCTTTTCACCATCTGAAGCAGCTTTTGCTTGAAAGTAAGGAACATGATAGCAAAGGCAACAAGCAAGGTCAAGCAAATGGGAAGAGCAAGCACCAGGTACAACAAAGCCAAATTCACTGTCATCCACCTGCAGCCCTGAAGGACAGACTCGGGCAGCTCTGCTGCATGAAGTGTTCTGGAGGAGTACAGACAGGTGACCTCCACCCTGTCGACAATGTGCACTGTTTGGAGACTGTGCAGGAAGTCCCACCATTCCAGCTTGCAGCAGTTGTATGGGTTCTGGCTGAGGTAGAGCATGTCAAGACTCTTTCCGAGCTGCTTCTCCATGGCATCCTGTGACAGGGAGGTGAGAAGGTTTCTCCGGAGGTTCAAGGTGTGCAGCTTCAGACTACCCAAGGACTCTGGGAAGCTGTCCAGGGAGTTTTCAGACAAATCCAAACTTACCAGGTTCTGAAAGCTAGAGAAGTCCATATCTGCTGTTGCACAAGATAAGCTAGCATTCCTGAGAGAGACAACTTGGAGTGTTAGTGCAATATCTTGCAGAGGCCTCAGGCTCCTGGACAGGGCTCTCTGATTGTTAGAGAGATCTAAGTGTGTTAGAGAGGTTCCACTAAAAGCATGGCCATCCACCACGTCTAGACCACATCCAGCCAAGTAAAGTTGCTTCAGGGTCATAATATTCCTGAAGTCTATGCAGACAGAATACTTACTACCATCTGCATTGGCTTGCTGGGGACAGACATCTATCCGGTTGTGACTTAGGTCCACTGTAGTGATCTTAGGTGTGTGGGCAAAAAGTTTAGCAGGTACTTTCTGTAGCCCATTGGCACTCAAGTTAAATAATCTGAGATTTGGCAGTATGCCTTCAGAACCTAGATCCACCTGTAGCTCTGAGAGCTGGTTCTGACTGAGGTCCAATTCAATAAGCATGCCTGGAGGTTCTTCCTCCCATATATGAAAGGTCTGCAAGCAGTTCTGATTGAGCTTCAGATAAGACAGGGAAGTCATACCTGCCAGAAACCCTTCAGGCAGATACCAGAACTGGTTCTGGCTCATGTCTAGGAACCTCAAGGAGGACAGGTTGCTGTGGATGACCTCATCCCAGAGGCTGAGCGTAGTGATGTTAGTGATATTGCCATCTATGAGAAGGTACTGCACAGTGACATTCGGAGGGTATGTGGCATTGGGAAGATGTCTATAAAAGCACATCTCATTGTCCATCAGCAGCAGGGAGTTCAGTTTGCTTTGCCTGGGCAACAATGGGAAGAAGAGGAGCCGGTTATGGGAGAGGTCTAAAGTCTCCAGCTCAAATAGAGCATCACTCTCTACAGCCAGGAACCATTCAATGATATTATTGCTGACATTCAGCATCTTCAGCTGGGTCAGCTCAAACTCCACGATGCAGGGAAGGTAGTTGTAGGCCAGACTGAGCCTCTGCAGTCTCCGTAGGCCTTCAAAGGTGCCACTCTCTATCTCAAAGATGTAGTTCTTCTCCAGGTTCAACTCCTGCAGCTGGCTCAGTCTCTCAAAGATAAAAGAATCCAGCCTCATGATGACATTCCTAGCCGCAGACAAGGACTCCAAGGAAGACAGATTCTGGATAAGGGTAGCCACCATGTCTTCAGTGAGTTGGTTCCCAGACAAGTCCAGTTTCCTCAGGGCTGGTAAGGACCAAAGAGCAGCTGCTGTCACAGAGTAGTTGGTAAAGAGAGCATTATCCGCCAAGGAGAGAACTTGGAGGCCTCTGTTGTTTAGGAAGGCTCCAGATTCAATAAGCTTCAGTGTGTTTCCAGACAGGCCGAGGTTCCCCAGCTGCCTGTACTGCAGCAGAGAGGCATTTCTTAGCATCTGTATAGTGTTGTCATCTAGGAAGAGCTCCTTTGTGTTAGCTGGGAGATCTGCTGGGACCAACTTCAGCTCCCTCCCATTGCAAGCTGCAGCTCCATGCCCCTGAAGCAAGAAACACATGGCCATTAACACAACTGGAAAGAGTAAGCCCAGAGGCAAAGGCCTAGGAGCCGTTCAGGTTCGGAGACATCTTTGATTCTTCCTACACACACACACACACACACACACACACACACACACA